AGAGAGAGAGAGAGAGAGAGCCAAGGAAAAAAAATATTTGAGAGAGAGAGAGAGAGAAAATGGCGAGAACTGTTATTTCCGCGAAATGTTTGACGGCGTTTGCAGTTATTTTGGCAATGGTTGCTCTGAGCGAAGCAAAGCCGCAGTTTGCAGGTGGTGGAAGAATCCGAGGCTTTTTCGTGAGTTCTTGAAATGAAATTACATTTGCTTAATTAAATGAATTATCATTTATATATTGTATAAAGTATATAATAAAATTTTTTTTGTTCATGTGTAAGAAATTCTATTACTGAATTACACTAAAAATATGCCTGAAATAGTGACTGCAACAGGTGGTACCTTAAAATTTGATCCTAATCCAAACTAGGGTTGAATTCAATTTGCAAGGTACCAGTACACCAAGCATCTTCTTGCACAAACTGAGCTGAATTTACAACTTTTGTGTATTTAAAGTTGTTCTAACTGATTCAATTTTATTTTTGGTCCTTGCAATTTGATCCTGATCCAAACTAGGGTCAAATCCAAATTGCAAGGTACCACCTGTATACATAATTTGAACCTAACCCATTGCCAAACTAGGGTTGAATTGCATGATGATCAAATTGTGAGACACTCTATGAAATCAATAATGGCAAACAGCACAAAAACCCTAGATAAGGGGCTAAAACAGGTCAAATTTTGGAAAAGAGATTGAATTGCTGCACGTCAATGTTCAAGCAAATTTTACCGTCAAATTGCAGGAAAGTCAAATTGTTGGAGGTCAAATTGCAAGGTACCATCTGCATACAAATGTCCAAAATAGAGATTTTCAACTTGAAAATGTCAATTCAGAAGGTTTTTTTTTACTTAAAAATGCTGAAATTGGCAACAGGGTCCAACTGTTTATCAAATCTTCCTGGGCCACAAATTGATATTTTTTAAAGTTTTTATTGTCAAAATGTTTGCCTTTGCAGCCCTCCTACAAGAATATTCTGGCATAAACTGAGCTGAATTTACAAATTTTGTGTACTGTATTACCAATTTTTGTAACTGATTCAATTTCATTTTTGGTCAAGCAAATCACTACAGTATTATTTTAAGGGCAGTATAGTCAGACTTTCCAGAAGCACCTTGGTACTGACTAAAGGAGTAAATGTTTCTCTAGAAAATTCACAGGATGAAAGTGAAGCAAATATAATGCAAAGCAATGAATTAGAATGAAAATATTTTGTGTCTGAGAAATGTATAATTCATAAAATGATCTGCATAATGTGCACAAATTCTGGATTAAATTTAATCTAGTTTAAAATTTCAATTTTCAAGAAATATGTGTATACACAGTATAAGCCATGATTTCATCAATGACACACTCAAAATCAAAAGAGTTCCTACATCAATTGAAATAGTTCCTCTGTTATTGATAATACAGTGCAGTACAGTATAAAAATATCTCTATGTAAAAAAGTGGAAATAATGATATTTCATTTTTAATTCTTTTGAAAAATTATGAATAGGGTTCATGCCAAAGTTTCACAAATAAAATTATTAAAAAATCAAACTAATGTTCACCTGTGATGCTGTGACAAATCCTTGGGGTATACTGCACAAAAAACTTTTTCTAAAGTCACCCTGAGCTTCTTTTAAAAATATTTTATTGTATATATACAGAACATTTCTATATGTGGGCACCACATTGAAGATTCAATTTGAAACCATTTATAACATACAAACTAATAGATGAGGACATGAGAAAGATGGAAATTTGTATTCTTTGAAGTTGAAAAAAATATAAAAGCTTTCCTTAATCAAACAAATATTTTCTAATTTTGTTTTCAAAAGTGAGATATATATTTTTTGTGATGTGGTGAAAATGTGTTGAACAGTTGTTGAAGTAAGGTTAGTTACATGTGGTACCTTGCAATTCAACCTCCACCAATTTGACCATCCTGCAATTTTGCAGTCAAAATTGCATCAGGGAGGTTGACTTGAAATTCAACCCTTACCTCACAATTGAACCAGCTTTGGTGTACTTAAATTTGTGAATTTCAGGGAGTGTCTTGCAATTAGACTGATTCACAATTTGACCCTAGTTCAACAACAGCTTATAGGGTTGAATTTCAAGGTACCACCTTTCTTATAAATAATTTTTTTCATGTATATGAAAGACACATTTTATTGTTTAAATTCGTCGTTTTTTCAGTGGCCTGCAAACATTTTTATTCCTCAAGATCTTAGTGTGGCCCAGAATCACACATGGCCTATATATAGCTAGGTATAAAAATGTATTTCATTCCTGGCAAACAAATATTTCCCAATTATCAGTTTTTATTATGATTATTTGTATAAGTTACTTCAGCTCATGTGCAAAAAAATATTAAACACGAGGGTTGTCCCATTGCCGAGCGTCCTGGGAAATTCTGACATCATTTAAAATTTCAAAAATGACATTTCAAGCTTTCAGCATGATTTTTTTAACTTTAAAATTGTAAAAGATTTTTCAAGACACTGATGCATACTGAAATGTGACATTTTCCCACTTTTGGCAAAAGTTTCCCAGCCCTTCTTTCGCAGCATGTTAAAAAGTTATCATGATGGTTTAAAAATGGAAATTTTTTTGTGTAGAATGTTTTTTTTTTCATATCTGGTTAAATTTTTAAACATTTTTGGATGATCAATTTTCTTGCAATAACTAGAAACTCACCAATTTATTATTTTAGGAAAATGAAAGAGTTTTTATATACAATGGTCTTAATTTCTCCCAGAATCCTTTGCCAATCATCAGGGAGAATTTTTGCCCAACCAACAAGTGGCTGTGAAGATAAATTGGATCTATTTATAAATCTATGTGCAGTAGCTTCAAAAGTGGTGGGATTGGAAGTTTCCTGCGAAATTCTTGATGAGTCTTTGTGTGAATAGGCATTGGATATTTCCAAATCTTATTCATTGAAAATATGTAAAAATTAATCACATAGAGAGACTTGGTTGTGGACACATACCCTGTTGTACAAGGGTATAATAATGCACTTGATCTCTTGTTGTGGGAAGTCAATCATTTGGAATGGGGGAAAAGTTATTGTAAAGCTGTACTTTGTTACAGCAAACTTCTGTGTGGGGAAAACACAAAATTCTGAATTGGAAAACATTTTGTACATACTGATTCTCTCAATTGTTTTAATTGGATGTTGCAAAAACTTGGAACATTTTCAAAATGAATGCATTCTCAAGAGGATTTTCAAACAGAAAAAACTTATAACAGCAGAACTCACAAAGTTTCTCTAATAAATATAAGAAAACATTTTAAAAACAAATTTCCCAATCCAATTTTGGACTAAAATCATTTTTTGCTTAAGATGAACAATATGAACAAAATTTTTGAATGTTTGACAGGATTATTTTTGAAGATCCAGATATTGTGATGATTTAGTTGGAAACACATTAAAAAAATCGCCAAAAATCATTTTTGTTGCACTGAAATTATCTGGAAATTTATTTTTCAAGGAAAAGTGCATTATGGTATTCATTGCACAAACATTTTTGCAGCATGATTAAGAAATTTCAAAAATGTTGCTGTTGAAGACTGTCACAAAATCCTCCAAAGAATATGTATTGCAGTAAAAAATCTTTAAATTAATTTAATTTTTGAAGGAAATTCCAAAAATTTTTGAGGACATTTTTTTTTAGAAAAATGTCATGATGGTATTTCTTGCTCAAATATTATTGGAGGGTGATACAGAAATTTCATGTATTTCACTGGAGACTTTCAAAAAATGCCCCCAAAGAATAAGTTTCTTGCACTGGAATAATTTGTAAATATACTGTATTTTTCAAGAAAATTGCAAAATATTTTGGGGAAATTATTTTTAGAAAAATTGTATGCTGATGCTATTTTTTCACACAAATTTTAGGAGGATCATTCTCAAATTCAGATTGTACTGGAGACTGTCAAAAATCTTTGAAGAATAGGTTTGCTACAATAGTGAAATAATCTATGAATTTGTTTCTTTAAAAGAATGGCACAATATTTGAGGAAATGTTCTCAGAAAGTTTGTATGATGGTATTTTTGCACAAAAACGTTTTGAAAATGATTCAGAAATTTTCAGGATTGTCCTGCTGCTGGAGACTGTCAAAAAATTTCCCAAAGAATAATTTTGGTGCAGGTAACATAATCAGTAAATTTATTTTTAATGTAAAATGCAAAACATGTTGATGAAACTCTTTTAGTATAAATTTGCCTCATGGTATTTTTTGCACAAAACATTTGTCAGGATCCTTCAGAAATTTGTACAGTATTGGGAAATTACTGCTGGAGACTGTACAAAAAAATCCCCCAAAAGAATGAGATTGTTGCAGTTGAAAAATCTGTAAATTTAATTTTTAATGAAATTTCATAATATTTTGAGGGATTGAAAAATAATAATATTATGGTACAGTTTTTCCAAAAAAAATTTGGAGGACGATTTTTGAATTTCAATTGTACTGGAGACTGTCAAAAAGTACCCCCAAAGAATAAGTTTGATACAATTAAATAATCTTATAATATATTTTTTTATGAAAAGTAAAAAATATTTTGATGAAACTTTTTCCAGAAAATTTGCATGATGGTATTTTTTGCATGAACAATTTTCGAGGATGCTCCAGAAATTTTTATTATTTTTTCTGCCAGTAAATTTAATAAAATTTTTATTTTAAAAAATCTCCCAAATAAAAGAATAAGATTGTTGCAGTTAAAAAATCTGTAAATTTAAGTTTTAATGAAATTTCATAATATTTTGAGGGATTGAAAAAAAATAATATTATGGAATGTCCAAAAAAAATTTGGAGGATGATTCTTGAATTTCAATTGTACTGGAGACTGTCAAAAAATACCCCAAAATAATAGGTTGGTTACAATTAAATAATCTTATAATTTATTTTTTTATGAAAAGTTCAAAATATTTTGATGAAATGTTTTTTTTTTTAATTTGCATGATGGTATTTTTTGCATAAAAAATTTTCGAGGATGCTCCAGAAATTTATATGATTGTAATGCCAGTAAATGTATTTTTGAAAAATCTCCCAAATAAAAAAAATGAGTTTGTTGCAGTAATGAATAAATCTTTAAATCCATGTTTCCAAAGAAAAGGGCATAATATACGGTTGATTTTTTGCTGAAACCCCTTATGTTTTTTTAATTGATTTTATTGTTTTTTATTGAAATATTTTTTTATTGATTTGAAATACAGTTCCACGATTTTTTTTTAATTCCCTCAAAATATTTTAAAATTTCATTATTTATCTTGAACCTCTCGCTCAATTATTGCGATTTATTATATTATTTTTTTCATTTTTCCTTTCTTCCAGAACAACTTGTCGGGGTTCAATGACCCCGAGTTGCGGGATGAAGGCGAGCGGAGTGGGGACGCAGACGAGGACACTGGGGACGGGCCAGCTGATGACGACCCCACTGGGGACGCTGGGGACAACCAGCAGGAACAGGGACTGCAGCCAATCAATGATGGGCCAGAGCCGAATGATGACGCTGATTACGAAGACGATGGGCCAGACGGGGAGGCTGAATATGCTGACGAAGCCGGAGAAAGAGACAATCGACAATATTAAAACATGGGCTCATCTTTGTTTTTTTTTTCTTCTTTTTTTTGTTAAGTTTTTTTTTTAATGTTGTGCCGTTTTGAGCTGATGGTTGAACCGAATTGTATTACTTTAATTGGTGGTCAATGGTGATTTTTAGAGGCTGCTTTTGAAGAGAGAGAGAGAGAGAGTGGCAAATAGAAATTAAGCAAAAATAAGGTTGATGGAAATGTGAGTTTTACTTTTTTCTGTCATGATCCAAAAGAAATGCATATGGCAACCCTGTGATTTAGGCCTTTCTTTTTGTAAAATGTTGACATACACTGCATACATTCAACACTTCTGCAGCAAAGATGGGATATTTTGGCACACACAAAAATTGTGCCCTAAAGTGCTGAAATTAAGAAAAAAAATGAACTGACAATACCTAAGACCTAGGCCAGGAAAAGTTTGATTTTCTTTCTGCCATCAAAATTTTTTTTTTGCTTAAAATAAATGAAAAAATCCTTCCTGTGTGCCATTTTCCCTGAATTCCTATATTGGATTTGGATTAAAGATTTCTGAGAAGAAAAGGATTTACTCTTCTCAAATTTTTCAAAACATAGGCACAGTTTGGAGGCCCTTGATCACACTGAAATGCACCTGTGCGCAAAAAGAGTCCATTTTGGTGTGGGAGGGAAAGGAGACTGCCATTAACCAGCAAGGATTAATTACCATGCATTTTATTTTTAATTAGGAAGCAAATTAGGGCTGTTCTTATCCTGGATGAGGTGAACAGTCTTCATCATGTCTTTGCTAAAAAATTTCCACATTTTCAAAATTAGTTTCTTTTAATCACAACAGTCCCTGATGTGAAGCAAAGCAATTACAAAAAACTGAAACAGTGTTTATTTGGCAAAAATTCATAAATTCTAGTTTTATGCCTTTTTCAGAAAATTTCACATTTGGCCAATGGAAATGTGCACCATATACATACAAAACAGCATTAGAAGTTTTTCTTCAATCCCAAAGGCAAAATGCAGTAGTGCCTTTTGCATGTGTGTGGGAACTTGCATGCATAATAATATAGGAAATCACAGGTTTTACTTGAGGAACATTTGTATTTGTATGGCACACAGTAAGTTTTTTGTGTGAGCCAGAAGGTGACAAACAAAACATGTTTTGTAAGACTTCAAGAAGTCCTGCTAAAAATATAAGACACCTTGTCCCACACAACCTAATGGAGATCCTTGGTATCAATCATTCATCTGTTGATGCATTGATGCTTGTTGTTCATAATAAATCATTGCCAGTCGAATAGAGTGATAGTCCCATGTCCCAAACTCATCCAACATGAAAACTCGTATTTTAGAGATAAAAAAGTGACATCTAGGTGATATATAACAGTATAAGTGATGCCGTTCATATTTTACTCCCGTGACACGTCTGAATATCTGGGAAGGGAACTTCCGCAGTAGGCGAGTTTTCCGGGGAAGTCACAACCGAATTTAAGACGTGAAGGTCGTCGTCGTATTATTCTCGATGGTTATTTAAATTTACGGAGAAGCAAATGATTATTTGCCGATTTGGAAATGCTTAATTGTGTTCGAAATTTTCAAATTTTACCTAGATGGAGAAAGAACGTTGCTTGTACGAAGTACTGTGTGTTCCCAAGTTCGCATCTTCGAACCAAATCAAGAACAGTTTTAAATCTTTAGCCCTTGTGCATCACCCTGACCGCGGAGGATCAGCTGAAAACTTCTCAAATATCCAAGCTGCCTACGCAGTACTGTCGGATCCAGTCCAGAAATTAGCATACGACGAGTCCCTGAAACTGAATCAGAAACTTTCGCGAAGTGTCCGCTGCGAATTAGACGCAGAAAACTTCGATCTGTTGCGCGATGGTAGGTGTTGCCACCCGTGTCGTTGCGGAGGATTCTTTGACCTGCCTGAGGAAGATGCTTCTTGTCGAAGAACATTGATTCTTGAGTGTGATTCTTGTTCGTTGTTGGGAGAAGTAACGTTATCATGACGAAATTCTAGATTCATTTATCTCTGAAAATCTGCTAGGTTTTTTTTCTTGAAATTATCCTTGCTCTAACCTGTTCTTGAGTCTAAACAGTGTCTATCTTTTTTGTGGAACAGATCTGCGCTGTGTTCAAAAACAAAAATGTTTAATAATTTTGTATGATTTGATCTTGTCCACGAACCTCTGGTGCTTCGTTACAAAAGACGGAAGAATGCCTGTTATGGAAACCTGTTGGTCACCGTGGCTTCACTACACGGACATCAAGGAAGCTTCTAAGGCCGTTGCTGCCTATACACTAGTGAGTACTTTCTCCATAACTCGTATGTGTTCGAACCTTGAAACGTGACTTCGATTTCAATTCCTAATATACGCAGGCCATCAGCGTTATTGGAATCGTTTATTCGGTTTATGTGATGCTCGGAGGCGTTTCCTCAGAATTCTTTGGACCACTTTTTGAGACTGACACGAGAAACAGTTAGTTTTTATCATCATTCATTCTTTTGTGAAGATACTGGAAGGTTTCTTCTCTTCACAGCTGCGAAATATGCCGGAGGATTTTTGATAATTTTCTGCCTAATATACATCGGGTTCTCAATTCTGATGATGTTCGGAATTGCGAGAGAAGTGCGCGGATTCATCCTGCCTTGGATGATCCAAACGGTTCTTTCCTGCATGAGCATCACAGCGTTTGGTCTCTGGGTTTTGTGCTCGTACTACACAAACGTAAGTCGTTCATTTCTGACTTCACAACTGCCCTGTTGCTTTCATGCGATGGTTTTATTCCAGCTTTGGTCTGTGTTCGCATTCATAGTGATCATGTTGTGCAGCGCATTGCATGTAAGTTCTCTATTGCAAAGATTTTGTTTGGTTGTTGCTAATGACTGTTTTCCTTTGCAGATTTACTGCTATCTCTGTGTGTATTCCTTCTACCGTGAGGTGAAGAAGTTCCAGAAGCCCAACATCGTTCCTCTCTGGGATGAAGAGTTCGATTATTGAGGGAGACATCATCAAAATATTATTCTTACGCGGGGAAATGTTCGCAATATTTGTTACGAAAGAATCATTTTTGTCGACGAAGTTCATTCCGTCCTGTTACATGGTTACTTTTATACAGTTGTTGAGAAACTATGTGCTTGAATATTCCGCCAGAAACATTGATATCGTTTTTTCTGTGAACCTCAGCTTTTATCTCGTATTCATGGTGAGAAGCACTGAATACAAAAGACGTTCTGTGGTGGTACATTTGAACCTCCATGTATCAAGCCTCGTTATTCCGGATTTTTTTCAATTCCCTGTATGAAATCCAATGCATTGAAAACCTCCCTAACTCAAAGGCTTTAACCCACAAACCTCCGTATAACTCAAATTTCCTGGATGCCTTTTGGTAATTACTTGATTGATGTGGGAAGGAGAACAGCAATAAAATTTCGCTTGATGTGTTTTGAAAGGAAGTGAAGACTAATTCGGGAAATGAACCCTTTCCTCCAAATTCAGCATTCTGTGAACTCATTTAAGGTCCAGAACATCACCAATTTCAAATTTCTTTAAAATCTTCTCTTTTTTCCCCAACAAAAATGCTTGTTTTCCTAGCTCAAATTTGTGCTGGTTCCTTTGAAGTTAGAGAGGTTTGACTTCGCAATATTTTGAGTTAATTTATGTTTCTGGAAGGAATTTGTGCAAAGGTTTTTTTATGAACAGGAGTATTGTGAAGTTTTTGCGTTCTTGACGATCCGATCGGGGTTGAATTATGAAGTGGCAATACAAGCAACAACATCCGTTTGAAAAACGACAGCAAGAAGGCGAGAAAATCAGGAGGAAATATCCGGACCGTGTGCCAGTAAGGCTATCGTGAAAATTCATGTTCACATCAGAAAATTTAAATATTTCCATTATTCATTGTCCAGGTGATTGTGGAGAAGGCGCCAAAGGCTCACATCGGAGACCTGGACAAAAAGAAGTATCTCGTGCCCTCGGATTTGACTGTTGGACAGTTCTATTTTTTGATCCGGAAAAGAATATCCTTGAAGCCCGAGGATGCCTTATTCTTCTTTGTGGACAACGTAATTCCGCCAACCTCAGCGACCATGGGATCTTTGTATGAGGTTTGTATTCGTTTGCCTCAATTGCTGAAATATAGTTGGGTCGAACTTTGAGGGACCAGCAAAAAAATTTGAGTTTTCGATGCGTTCAGTCAAGGAAACGAGCATTTTTTTTTTAATTTGCAAAGAGAGATGAATTTTGGGAAATTTTAATTGGTTATATTCGCGTCCTCGAATTTTATTTTTGAATGTTGACAGGATGCTGAACTTGGAGGCAAGAGTTGATTCATCAATTGATCTTTTGCTTCCTTTCAAAGCACATCAGGTTACCATTATGGTACTTTCCTGTTATCTCAGTACCTACATTTTTATTGCTTTTCTCTTTTGTGTAAATGAAATGATAGGCAGAAGGGCTTCGGAAAATTGCAATCATGGTGGTTGGATCAAGAAAGCCTTTGATTTGGACAACAATTTTTAATGCATTGTTTTCAAGGGAATTTGAGAGGGATTTTAAAGCATTCATTTTAGAGAGAGGTATTTGCCCTGGGGGATGTTTGAGTTATGGCAGCTGACCAGGATTTTTTTTTATTATTTTCAGTCAACCTCTGAATAATAATTGCATTTTCTGTTGTTTCAGGATCACCGGGACAAAGACTTCTTCCTCTACATTGCTTTTAGCGACGAAAGCGTTTATGGGAACTGTTGACATTTTTGGCAGAACGAAGTTCGATCGGCAAGATGACTGACGAAGTTTGATTTTTTTTCACATTTTGATTTGAAGAATGGCTGTGGTTTTAATTTTTGGAGAAGCATCTTTTTTTTGCACGATTTCTCATTCGTTTTCAAGATTTGTTCGCGTGAAGATTTGCGGCGTTTATTACGGTTAATTTTTTTTAGAAAATGCTGCAAGCTGTATTGTGTGAAAGATGATCAAAATAATATTCATTATTTTAGAGTTTTTTCGGAATTTGTTGAGCGAATAATTCTGTCCAAGATTTTCTATTTTATTTCGAAGTATGATACTTTCCAAAAAATGACAGACGCGCAAAAATGCATCAACAAGCTCTGTTCCGTATTTTCATGCAACATAGGCCGCATTTTCCCTGTGGCCTATAGTAAAGATATTTTTCTACATGATGTGTGGCCTATGAGTTGGAGGATAATGTCCAAGGGTTGTGCTTGCTTGAGTATTAGAACTTAAAATACATGTACAGGTGTTACCTTGCAATTTGACCCTAATCCATTGCCAAACTAGGATCAAATTGCAAAGCAGTCAAATTGTGAAACACTTCGTGAAATTCAAAAAGATCACTAGAAAAAGAAAGAAGTGGGCAAAGCAGGTCATTGTGGGGAAAGCGTTGAATTGCAAGTCAGGGCAATGCTGCAAAGTTGACCCTCAAGTTATGTGATGGTTGAATTGCCAGGTACCACCAGTACTATTATCTTGCAAGTAAGAACAATAGCAAGAAAATCAAGCCTTGTTCAATTGGAAACCTGATGACTTTACCTGTTGAATATGTATAAATTTCCAAGAATTTGGTGGATTAAATTCTCAAAATCTTAAGAGTTGCCCAGGTGACAATTTTACAAATTGTTGCAGCATGAAATTCCTGCTGAATATTATGGATCTCTGCTTCAAGTCCCGTGAATACGGTAAATTAATCCTTTGCGCGTTTTATTGAGATTCTGAAGTGGCTTTATTTTGGGTTCAAATAACCATAGCTGATTTTAAAAATTGTAAAGCTTTTGTTGAATGAATATAATCTTGTGCTCAAGAGAAGATATGTTGCATTCAGATCTTTGGCATGCTTTGTGTGGTGGAATGGAGGGCTTGGAATGATTTTATACATGGAAAAGTGTGAAATCTGATGAAAAAATTGTCTGCTTTCCAACTGTATCTTTGCCATGAAGCGACTCAGATTAAATAAAATGGCTTACCTTGCTATAACTGAATTGTGCTTCAATCTTTGGACGTTTGGAAAATCTGGAAATGTTTCTCATGAAGGATGTCCTGTATAAATATGTGAGAGATGTCAAGTGGTTATCAAAAATTCATACTGTCATATTTGAATCAGGGAAAGTGTGGATCAAGCAAGGATTGTCACAAATATTGAAGGCCTAAATGCAATTTTTTGTGGAAGCCTTTTCATTTAATGGCTCTCTTATCCACGTTTGCAGCCCTGAAAATCTTTTTTTTTCTTAACATTCAAGCATATACAGAAATTGGAGAGCATTACCAAATATCATGAATGACCTGTTGAGTATTGAGGAGTGCATGATTAACAAGCAGCCATTGGAGAAATCAAGGTCTTACACATTTCTATGAGTGCTGATAAGTCTAAAACACCCAATAAACCAATACATTATAGGATATACAGTACTGTAGATACAGTATGTAGGTACGGACCCCAAAGCTGTGAAATATTGCACTTTTAATTTCCTAAATAAGAAAAAGGTGTAAAAACTTTCAAGTCTATATAATTCATTTATACAGGGGTCATGTGGAAATCTCATTGTGAACGAGTTGAGTACTACATAAAGTACATAATAACTTATAAGCTAAAATATAAATCAGTATGCCCGGCCTGCTTTGACTGCCGATATTTTTTCCTAGGACTTCATTCATCCGGAAAAATTGGTATCGATATACAGTATATTTGTGTATAAGTTTCGTGTTTCTGCAGCATTTCAGAAAACGGCGATTTCAAACTTTTTTGAAATTTGTCGCCTGTTGCTCAAGCTTGAATTTTAATGGTGGATTAACAAATACACTAGGAGATCGAAGCGTGAGAATAATGTACATCGACCCCGGCAATGGGAAAAAGTTGAGGTCCCACCGAGATTTGAACTCGGATCGCTGGATTCAAAGTCCAAAGTGCTAACCATTACACCATGGGACCGTCTTGTTAGGAAATGACCAGTTTTCTCCCTCCAGAGTTGGTAGATTGCCCACCAAGTGCTGCACATCCAATACATTATGCAGTACATTATACAAGTGTCATTATACATCTCTATAGATTCATCAGATGCATGGTATTTTATTTGTGCACATTCATTAATATACATATATATATGTATATACAGTATATATATATATATATATTGTATATTGTTAGTATGGTACATGCAGTACAGAATATTACTTTTATGTATATATATGAAGGCTGAGCTGAGGCAGGCTTTGTCATTAAATGCCAGCAGAAGCATAGTAGATCTGGAAAGAACAAAATGATAGTAGCCTGCATCAGCAGCAGTATATCCGCCTCCAAGCAAAGACAGAATAATATCTGAATCATATCTATATAAGCTAAGGGAAGGGAGTTGAGTAACACTTCTGCTTTTTATTCAGGATGAGATCTGATGCTCCTTCCATTCCCAAGAATATTTTCCACCTCAGAACTTTGTCCTGTGTCATTGCTGGAAAGTGAAGGAAAAAATGGAAAGTGGTACCTTCATCTAGGTGTTCAAAAGGGAATCATGGGCTTATCACCAGGTGTGTTTATATATACAGCGCAAATATGTATTGCCACTTATTTATACTGTAATTGATTCTTACACATAATAGGCCTTATTGAACATGACAAGCACACTCACCTACTGTGTTCAGTACATGGAATGGATAGTATAATATTTCCAACAACCTTCATTGCAGCCTTACCTGCAAGGATGAGGGAAGAAGTTTTAAAATTGGGTGTTCAACCCAAAATTGAAGATTCAACTGAAGAAACCTGCATTTGGGTTGATATCCACATTGATGGTGTCCAGATTTTCAATATTCAACCAAAAGTCAGGTATGCAACTTTACATGAATACATGTCTAATATGTTATTGTACATGTCATGTACTCATGTAATTCAGGTAAAGGCAATTCTGATGCAAGTGTATGGTTTTGGAACTACAAGGGAGGTACAACCTAGGCTCATTGTCCCTCTTTCACTATCAAAGCCAATGAAAGTAGGAATTTATCATTGGGATGGAAAACCAGATGTATTTTCTTTCATGAAGTGCCTCCTGGAAGAAGGGAAAAACCTTCATCTTTCATGCAACAGAGATACATGCATGGCAACCTCTGGCCATTCCCAGCAAATAATCACCTGTTTTCCAGCCAGGCATCAAGACCCTGGCAAAAATCACCCATCAAAGACCCGTTTTTCATGGGTCCCTGGATACTGGTGGTATTTTTGAAAATGGGTGATTTTTCCTCAGCCGTTTTCCTGCCAGGCGTATGGACGCAGGCGCAAAACACCTGTCAAACACCCGTATTTCATGGATGGTTGAAAACAGGTGATTTTCAGAATTTGTGATTTTGACTGTGTGAGGGCATTTAAGAAGTACACGTTCAAACACCCGTGAAACACCCATCATGAATGGCTTTTGGAAATGGATGTTGCGAGAGTAAAATGTAGGTGAGATTTCCTGGCAGGGGGGGGGATTTTATTTCACAGCTATTTCCACCAAAATCCACGCGCTCTTCATGGTCTTTCATAAGTTAATGGTGCGTGATGGTTTCATAAGTTTTTGGCACAAGGTTTGTTTAAAAAGAGCATGACTATTAAATTTGTTTGCGCCATGTAAAATGTTTAGCGCGTAAATTGTTAAATTGATGCGCCGCCTAACTTTTTAAATGGAGAATCACACGTTAATGGTAAATATATGGAGGATGCTGCTCCTACGTGCTGCATATATAAACGAGTACAAATATAAATCAAAAATAATAATTGCAATTAAATTTCTGTAAGATTTGTATAGATGGTATAAAAAAATAATATTTGCAACTAAATATATGATTTGTATGGATGGTAAGTATATCCCATTGTGATGTTTTAATAGTATGTAAATATGAATAACTAAAAGTAGTATTTCATTGAAAACATAAAAAATTATATATACATAGTGTTGGTTTGATAGTATGAACATAATAAATGAAGTTGTAAATAAAAATAGAAAATATATAAATATATGTATATAGACACACAATATATATATATATGCATATATGTATAACTGTCTCCTGTAATCTTTAAAATGAATTGAATATGTAATTACACTTTTTTGATAATTTCTTGCTACATTTTGTGTTGGAAAGTCAATCAATTAAAGGAGTCACTAGAGAAAATAGGAATAAAAAAAAGTATTAGTACTTATAAGCTTGGTTTATGAGTTGAATATTGACCATGTCAATCTGAATCATTGGTGCCAGTTGTTAAAACTCAAGTGTGTTACAATACAATGATTCCATAACGTTCACAAGCGTTTGGCATTCTATAACTTCCTTACTTAACAGAGTCCTAGTTAATGTTGCACGTAATATTGATAATACACTATTTATTTACTTACTTTACACTGCATTAAAGTTAATGAAATGATAAAACCTGGAGTATTTCAAGGTCCAATAAAACCTCCATGTTGCAAAATGTGTGGCATTCCATTGGACTATTCAATGGAAATCACAAATTGCCATCACAATGTTGAACGTGATTTTTATAATAAAGTTGTGTTTTAAGTTAAGAACAAATGTTATAAATGAATGAAATAAGAAAAACTCAAGTGTGTTACGATCCAATGATTCCATAACATTCACGAGAGTGTGTCATTCTATAACTTCCTCACTTAACAGAGTCCTACTTAATATTGCACATAAGATTGATAATACACTATTTATTTACTTACTGTAAGATGCATTAAAGTTAATGAAATGCTAAAACCTGGAGTATTTCAAGGTCCAATAAAACCTCCATGTTGCAAATTGTGTGGCATTCCATTGGACTATTCATTGACAATCACAAATTGCCCAGGTATGGGTGGCCTACGTGTTGAGACATTGAGAGCTGCTTAACATGTAAGGTTGCGAGTTTGAACCTAATTTTGTGTCATGATCTTCCAGGAATGTTTGATGCAGTGGTGTTCATCATTCTGTATAGGATAAGGAACACCACCTCAAAAGACAATTCCTATGGAGAGATACACAAAGAAGAAATATAATTTTTTAAATCCTGCAAAATGCATTAAAGTAAATGTGATTCAAAAACGTCAAGTATTAGAAGGTCCACTAAAACAAATTGCTTGTTTCCCTTGCGCGCGCATTCTCAATGCACATGGATATTGTTTTACTGCTTCACATCTGGGGTTTTACTTTACTGCACAGTCAAAACAGTGCCCCAAATTCCGTATATAGTAAACAAGTCGGGGAGAAGCATTTTTTTCAGTACAGGGATATTGTTTTACATTTGGGGTATTACTTTACTGCTTTCAAAACATGTACAGGGGAAAAGTGAGCCCCTCACCAAAACCTGATATGTAGTTCCAGGAAAAAAAAGTTTTTTCTTTCCTTATTTTACAAACATCTGCTCAAAATGTGCAAAAAGTACGGCACTTCTTGTATTTATCCTATCCGCGCTTCTCTTATTCATCCTATTCTAAAAAATATATTCTGCAATATAATATGAATATGCAATATGCACATAATATTGATAATAAAGTGCAACATTAAGTAGGACTCTGTTAAGTAAGGTAGTTATAGAATGCCGCACGCTTGGGAATGTTATGGAATCATTGGATCGTAACACACTTGAGTTTTTCTGATTTCATTCATTTATAACATTTGTTCTTTTATTAAAACACAACTTTATTATAAAAATTACGTTCAACATTGTGATGGCAATTTGTGTTTGCCAATGGATAGTCCAATGGAATGCCACACATTTTGCAATGTGGAGGTTTTATTGGACCTTGAAATACTCCAGGTTTTAGCATTTCATTAACTTTAATGCATCTCACAGTAAGTGAATAAATAGTGTAGTATCAATCTTATGTGCAATATTAAGTAGGACTCTAAGTAAGGAAGTTATAGAATGCCACATGCTCGTGAACATTATGGAATCATTGGATCATAACACAAATGAGTTTTTCTTATTCCATTCATTTATAACCTTTGTTCTTTTATTAAAACACAA